CCCCCCCCCCCCAAAATTTGTTTAAATGTGAGTGTTCTCGAAGTTTCTTCTCTGGCTTCTTCTCTCTATATTCCCCCTAAAAACTTCCTTTTTTCTATGCCTTCAACTATGATCCCCATGGGAAAAATCACAACTATTAACTAATGTGGCACACCTCTTTCTTCCCCAAGTTCCAAATCTTTTTTATAGATACAGTACTTTTCTTTTTTAAGTGTTTATTTACTTTTGAGAGAGAGAGAGACAGAGCAAGCAGGGGAGGGGCAGACACAGAATCTGAGCTGTCAACACAGAGCCCAACACAGGGCCCAAAATGGTGAACCACAAGATCATGACTGAGCCGAAGCTGGATGTTTAACCGACTGAGCGACCCAGGTGCCTCTCTTTTTAAGTTTATTGACTTATTTTGGGGCAGGAGGAGAGCGGGAGAGAGAAGGACGGTCACATTCAAGTGGTGGTGGGGAAGCAGAGAGGGAAGGAGAGAGAATCCAAAGCAGACTCTGCACTGTCAGCACAGAGTCCAATGTGGGCTGTGAGATCATGACCTGAGCCAAAATCAAGAGTCGCACACTTAACTAACTGAACTACCGTAGGCACCCTCAAATCTGTCTTTTCAATTGACGGATGACATGTTTTCATTATTGTCTTTCTACATTTTGAGGGCAAGGGGTCCCAAACCTACTTTTCTAACTTTTGCTAACAGATATTACCAATCTCAGAGCCCAGTGTGACTGAAGCTAGGAAGCTATGTTACACTTCCTACTCCTCTTCCCACCATCGTCAGTCTAAGTCATTCATTCATTTAACCACCGCCCATTTGCATTATAAGCATTATGGATACAAACACAAAACTATCCTTCAAATAATTTTTCCCTGAGGATGCCTTTCAAAGATTTCCTTGACAGACTCATGTCCTATTCAAGAGTAAGTGATCAAGGACGGTCCCCAAAGGGGTGGCCTTTATCAAGTAATTCTCTAATATTTCTATCTGATTTTCTCACCTTCAAAAACTCTTTCCACCTGTAAATCTCCTCAGTGTTACCAAATTACTTCACAAAGACTCACTATAGTTGGGTCCCTTTCTTTACTCCTAGAAAATTCTTAACAACAAATAGCAATAAAATTCCATTTTAGGCCCCCCAAAACGTGGCTTCAATCTATCAAGTCCAATCTACTCCATTACAGACATTGAAGTCTTATTACTCAAGATTGCTCATAATCTCCAGACTATGCTCTGCACTTTTCACCCCCAAACCTGTATATTAATGCTTTTCTATCTGCTTAGAATGCCGCTTCTTTCTTTCCCGAGCTCTGCTTCTCCTCCCCTCCAGTTTTCTCTTTCAAGGGTCTGTTTTCTCCATGTTTAACTCCTAAATATTCCCCTGAAAACAGCTCTAAGGTACTTCTTAGACTTATCATTCATATAGAACTTCATCCCATTTTGCTTTGTCCAACGAGTATCTGTTTAGTGAGTACTATCTCAACAGTGCAAAAGAAGTCAAAGGGCATTAAACAAAAAGCCAAGCACCTTTACCAGCAGCATAATCTAGAACATTAATTTTGATGCTCACTTTGATCATTAATGAACTAAAAACATTATTTAACTTCCCATGAATCTGACAGATGATTAGCTGGGTCACGAATATCAAGGAGTTGTGAGTATCACCATGATACCACTAGCAATCTCTAGTAGACTGTAAACTCCTTAAGCATAGACAGCATTGTGCCATACCTGTGTGATCACCCAGATAAAAGCTAACACAGTGCTCTCTCTATATAGTAGGCTTTAATTTTACTAAATGAGTTTTTTTCTAGTCAATATGCAAAGATAAAGTTCACATAAATTCAGTATTCACACTTTATAATAAGGAAAGTTGCCAGTCATTGAAAACAATATCCACAGAGATTCCAGAAACAATAATCTCATTGATTAAAAGTCTGAAAATTTCATTCTGACAATAGATCAAGATCGAAAAAAAGACCACCAGTAAAATTACCTTAGTATATAATGTGCACCCTCTCCAGCCCCCAGGGAGAAACCTAATCTTTGGTGTCTTTAAGAACATTTAAAAATTGTAAGTAGAATTAGCTACACTATAGCAAAGTTAAATCATTCAAAACTTCCTGATCTTTAGTCACACAAAATATGCAAATTACATGTACATATAGATACCAAAATATGTAAGATTATACTTTATTCCTTAGAATAAAAATATCTTCCTACTTATTAATTAGCTAAACAGCCTGCTATTTTTTTTCTCTAACACTCTTACAAATATAATTTAGTATTTAAGCTTGTTTGTTGCCTATTATCACACTGGCAAAAACAATTTTAATTAAGATTGTATTACTGGGGTGCCTGGGTGACTCAGTCAAACATCTGACTCTTGATTTCGGCTCAGGTCGTGATCTCTCAGTTCATGTGATCAAGGCCCAGGTCAGGCTCTGCACTGACAGTTTGGAGCCTGTTTGGAATTCTCTCTCTCCTCTCCCTCTGCCCTCTCTTCTGTGCACACGCTCGCTCTCTCTCAAAATAAACAAGAAAAATAATAATAAACATGTGGCCTCCTAATGACATAATTAAAAAAAGATTACATCACTCTGCAGTACTTTTTAGGATCACAGGTAACACATTTTGGTGATTCATTTAATAACACTCATATAAATTTTAAAATTACTAATCATATTATTATATCCCCACAAAAATGTCAAGGCCCTAAAATTATTTTTTTCAATATATTTGAGAGAGGTTGAGAGGGAGACAGAGACAGAATGAGAATCCCACGCAGGCCTCACACCGTCAGCGTGGAGCCCAATGCAGGGCTCGAATCCACATACGATGAGATCATGACCTAAGCTGAAACCAAGAGTCAGACACTCAACAAACTGAGTCACCCAGGAGCCCTGAGGCCCTAAAATAATTTTACATACACCCATGTTTGTTTCTAAATGAATAAATAGGGGGATGCCTGGGTGACTCAGTCAGTTAAGCATCGGCTCAGGTCATGATCTTGCAGTCTGTGGGTTAGAAACCCACATCGGGCTCTGTGCTGACAGCTCAGACCCTGAAGCCTGCTTTGGATTCTGTGTCTCCCCCTCTTTCTCTGCTCTTCCCCCACTTGCACTCTGTGTCTCTCTTAAAAATAAATAAACATTAAAAAACTTATTAATGAACAAATATGATAATGAAATGATCACTTTTCATCTTAGAAATGAAGCAATTAAAAGATATCATTTTAATCAGCCATCAAAATGAACAGAATTAAAGCCACAATGGTAATATGTATGGGTATTCATTTTCTCAGTTCATAGTTAATTAACTATACTCCACTAAACATGTAGTACATTTTTACTTATACACAAAAATACTATCCCAATTATCTATGTTAAAACTGCACATCAGATTGATAAAAATTATAGCTAACACATCTGCAAAAGTACCAGGTGCACCTGCCTCATGTTATACAAATACTGACTTACTTTGTAATTGTCCTCTACTTCAGCTAGTGCTAGTTTTATATTTTCAGCAATCTCCACTTGTTCTTTCCATTTCAGTTCCATTTTTGCAAGTTCATCGGCATATTTATTGCATTTTGTTTTCTCATCCTAAATGAAATTAGAATTACCAAAGACTTTTAAAAACACAGATACAGCCATTATCTTTATGAACATATTTAGATATGTACTGAATGTTTCATTTTAACACTAACAATAGAAAAACTGAAATAATGTCAGTAGACAATGGGAAAAATCATTTTAAGTCCATACAATGAAATAGTATATATGTAACAGAACAAAGTAGATCCACACATTAATAAGGAACAAGATACATTAATTTAAAATAGCAAGTTGCAAAAACAAAATATACAGTATAATCTTATTTTTGTTTTAAAAGTTAGCACAATCTTATATGACTCTATATCATGTTGTGTAGAAAAATATAAACAAAATATGAATAGCTCTCATCACTTGGAATCAGGATCATGATGGTACCTTTTACCATTTTTACTCTTTATTTCTATAATGCCTAAGATTTCACAATAAGCATATACAACTTTTGCAAAGAGAGGTAAGAAAAAAGAAAAAAGAAAAAAGAATCATATGATTATAATGACGCTGCTTCCAGATGTAGACAAACAAAACTCTGGGATTTCCTAACCAAGATATTATCTAGGTTGACTTCTTATACAATGCTCTTCTCTACAACCAAGAATATTAAAAGAAAGGAGTTACAAACCATGACAAAAGGGTAAATTGGCAATTTCATTTTGAATGTCTTATATTCAAGGTAAAAGTTTAAAAATATGCTCTAAGCAACTTTTTAGCAATTAATCCTAGATCAACTTACTATCCATTACCATACCTCACACCACACACAAAAATAAACTTAAAATTGTTAACAGGCCTAAATTTAGTGAAACCCAGGACTATAAAACTTATGGAAGAAAAAAATCTTTACAAGTTGGATTATAGGTGTGTGTTTCTTAGAACATAAAAAGCAGAGGGGTGCGTGGGTGGCTCAGTCAGTTGAGCATCTGACTCTTGATTTCAGTTCAGGTCATGATCTCACGGCTCTTGAGTTCAAGCCCCATCAGGCCCTGCACTGACAGCACAGAGTCTACCTGGGATTCTGTCTGCCTCTTTCTGCCCCTTCCCCACTTGCTATCTCTCAAAATAAATAAACTTAAAAAAAAGAACATAAAAAGCACAAAACATTAAAGAGCAAACTGACAAATCTGTACTTAATCAAAAGTTTTTCTAAAAACACCGTTAAGGAAATGAAAAGGCAAGTTACAGACTGGGAGAAAATATTTCCCAAACATGTTTCAAAAGACTTCTACCCACAATAAAGCTTACAATTCAGTAATAAAATGAACTCAATGTTTAAAACAGCAAAGATCTGAACTCTCCCAATAAAAAGGAAAATGAACTACCAATAAAAGCAACAACATGGATAAATTTCAAAATAATTATGCTGAAAGAGGACAGGAAAAAAAAAAGAGTATATACCATATGACCGCATTTATACAAACTGTATAAAAGGTAGGCTACAGTGGCAGAAAGCAAGCCAACAGTTTCCTGGGGGTGGCAATAGAGGGAGGAATGAGTTCCAAATAGAACTGCTCATTTCAGCAGCACGTATACCAAATGGGTACATAAAAACTTTGGCAAGTAATAGAAATGTTATCTTGGCACTATAATATTTTCACCACTGTATGTATGGCAAAACTGATCAAACTGCAGATTTTATACAGCTCAAGGCGCCTGGGTGGCTCAGTTGATTAAGTGTCCAACTTCAGCTCAGGTCATGATCTCAGGGTTTGTGGGTTTGAGCCCGCATCGGGCTCTGTGCTAACAGCTCAGAGCCTGGAGCCTGCTTGGGACTCTGTGTTTCCCTCTCTCTCTCTGCCCCTCCCCCACTTGAGCTCTGTCTCTCTCAAAAATAAACATTAAAAAACATTTTTTTAAACAAATATAAGCAGTTCATTGGATTTCAACAAATATATGCAGTTTACTGCACCTCAACACAACTTGGAAAAAATATGTACCTTGAGGAAGTTTTTGGCTTAGGAACATTCTATCATCCTTTCAGTAATACTGTATGATACCATTTTAAAAAACAGGCATCCTGAATTGTTTCAGACTTGATGAAAAAAGTTTAGTCCCTCATAAACAACTACTTTTAACAAAACTATTCTCATCGATCCTTCTACAGAAGAAAGGAACAAAAACTTTCAAAGTTTAAAAGATTAAGTACTATTTAGAAGGCAGTAACAAAATATTTTAATTACTACAGTAACATTGAACTAATGTATGAACATTATTCTATAGTTCTAAATATCTCTTTCCTCTCTACATGCACAGAAAAATACACACACTCACAAAAAATTAAAAAATCACAAACACAAAATGCCTTTGCCTCCCTTCTCCAAATCAGGTATAAATGAGAAGCATTTTCCCTCTGTCCTTGAAATACTCCGGGAGTGAATGCTACCAAGACAGTTGTAAAACTGAAATGTATGAAGAATACAGTTTTAAAATAGTCACCATAAGTAACACCATAAAAGCAATAGCTCATTTGGTTAACATTCTCTTTTCCCACTTTATAATTCTGGTCAATTTAAGATGTGGTAAAATTCTTTGCTATTAATACAGGGACTATAAAAAGAGCACTTCCCTTTATCAAGTTCTATCCAGCCTCAATTAATCACTTGCCCATTATCAAGAAAGGACACTAATGATGTTAGGATAATTTTACATACAGGCCTATGTGTGCAGGTACACAGAACAACCCCTCTCATCATCTCAAAAGTGAAACTCAATACCAGTATATGGATACGAAAAAGAAACCCCAAGATTTATAAATAAATATAAATATAGGTAAGCTAAGCCATTATATCTGATAAATCTCACACAAGAGAGCCAGCTTACCTGCAAGAGCTGTTTACATTTATTGTATTTTTCTGTTTTGTCAGCAATTTCTTTGGTCATTTCACAGACTTGTCCCTTTGTTACAATGTCAGAATCTGTCTCAGCTATTAGACAAGAAAATAATATTATCAATTATCAAAACAGAAAATAATATTAAAAATTATTTTGCCCCCATATTACCTTCCTGTTCAAAATAACTTAAAGGTCAGTATACTGTGAGATACAATAAATGGGACAATGAAGGAGAGAAATATCTATTTAAAAACATCTAATCATACACTAAATAAAGATAGTATAAACTCTACATGAGATTTTTTAAAATGTCAGTCTGGCCAGAAACAAGATCACATTCAGTAACGAAAAGTGATTTTTTTAATCAGCTAAAAATAGTTCTTAAATGGCATGCTTGTTCTCTTCATGTAACTGAATACACAGGATAAACAGAAAGCCATACTCTGAGAAAACACTTTAAATTATTTTTCTAGTCCTTCATTACTATTCAGTGAGTATTAAGTAACTTACACAACACCACTCTACATACTACAAAAAGTGTAAATAAATGGAAGTCAGGATCCTGTTATATAGTGGCTGAACCTGATTAAATATTTAATAGCATGGGAAATTTACAATACATTTAAAAAGTCTAAAACAGCAATTACCCCAAACACTACATTAGGAAATGTATTTTTATATACTGGAGTGCTGACTTCCATTATTGTCAATCTTTAACATAAAGTGAAAAAAAGAAATTAGGACAAGTGAAAACCTAGACTTAATTCAAATTGTCATGTTCATACATTCACCAGATCTTCCTAATCTATTCTAGAAGTTAATAAACTAATAAAAATTTAACTTGCCCACCAATAGGTATACTAACCACATAGTACCCGGGTCAAAAAAATTAAAAGAAAAAAAAAAAGAGAGAAACATAAATAGAACAGGAGATTAATCCCCACCCCACCCCCTGCAACAGAACTATACAACTGAATTACCATAAATGCCTCGAGATTCCACAGATTTAGTGGAATATTAATTAAAAATTCAATTATTGGCTTCTATCCTATAGCCTAACTGCTGTAACCATTTAAGCTTACAAACTCCAGCTCATTTAATACTTATGAATATTCTCATGAAGATAAATACTAGTTCACACTCATTTTATGTATTTCACATGTAAGACTTTCTTATTATTAAGCCCCTTACTTTATCTTTGCCTTAATCCTCTCATAAGAATTTTCAGAAGCTCCCTAAGACTCACACACTTGGAATAAGGCAGTATAAATAAGTATCAATACTCATCAAGGCAGGACACTACACAAAATGGCTAAAAGATTTTTACCTGTAGAAGGCTTTACATCTACATTAGAGGCAGTAGTAGCTGGGTCTGTGTTTATTGAAGCATCATTCACTTTTTGCTGATTTCCGATTTTCTTTGTTAAGACACTGGTGCTACTGGCCTATTCAAAATGTAACAAACTGTTATATGAGTTATATTTCCTTCCTTCAGTAATTGTCACGTAAAGAAATTCTGAGAAGTCTACAAAGCTGCTATTGTGTCTTAAAGACCAGCAAAGACTAAAGGTAACACCCATCACTTTACTAACTGACCTAAAAGTTACAACAAAAACTTTATTTTGGTTTTCCTTGCCAAATAATCAAACTACTACCAAAGCAAGCCAATCACAGAAATCTCATAAGTCATCTACTACAAAGTCATAATATACTTACAGGCCTCAACCAAAACCCGTACATGTGGGTCATACTTAAAGTATATTTTTTCACAAAAGCATTCCTAGCTTACCACATGCATTTCTGTGTAAATATCATCTGTATCAATACAGTATACAAATAAAAGTCTTTATAGCACATTTTGTTTGCAGAGATAACTTGGTATCATTTTCAACCGCAGGTTTTAAATGTGTTTCTTTACTTCCAGCATTCCATTACATAGCAAACCTTATATTTAAGTACAATTTAAGGACCCACATTAAAACACACACCAAGGGGCACCTGGATGGCTCAGTTAAGCATCCAACTCTTAAATTAGCCGTGGGGACGGGGCTCCTGGGTGGCGCAGTCGGTTAAGCGTCTGACTTCAGCCAGGTCACGATCTCACGGTCCGTGAGTTCGAGCCCCGCGTCAGGCTCTGGGCTGATGGCTCGGAGCCTGTTTCCGATTCTGTGTCTCCCTCTCTCTCTGCCCCTCCCCCGTTCATGCTCTGTCTCTCTCTGTCCCAAAAATAAATAAACGTTGAAAAAAAAAAAATTAAAAAAAAAAAAAAAATTAGCCGTGGGTCACGATCCCAAGGTCATGGGATTGAGCCCCACAGCAGGCTCTGCACGAAGCGTGGCACCTGCTTGAGATAGTCTCTCTCTCTCCTCCATCCCCACCAATGGCACATGCAGCATGCCCTCTCAAATAAATAAATCACACACCAAAACAGAAACAATTTCTTTGTTTTCATTAAATCTGCTTACCCTCTCAGATGGAATACAAAATAATTAGCTACATTAACTCTTCCTAATCTAGTGGCTATGAGTAGGATGGAAGAACCCAATAATGACAACGAGAAACCATCTTTGACTCTGAGGATAACCAACAGTGAACCCCACTGAGGACAGGCATCAGTCACAGGAGGGATTCAATATGTACAGAGTTTTTAAGTGAAGACATTTAACAAGAACTTAGAGGGAAACGGTCAAAAAAGAGGGCCTTCCCTCCCTGTTTTCCCCTGCTGCTGCCCTTGCTTCCTTTCTTGGGTTTCCAGCACACAAAAATTTCAAATTTAAACATATATCATTACAAACATTAGGCCAATCACTTCAATTCATGCAGAGATAAATTATATCCAAAAGGTTGATATTTAGAGTATTATAAATTTGGGGGTGCCAGGCTGGGTCAGTCAGAAGAGTACACAACTCTTGACGTTGAGGTTGTTGAGTTTGAGCCCCGTGTGGGGTGTAGAGATTAGTTAAATAAATAAAACTTTAGCTACTATAAATTTGATTTGTAAACAAAAATACTGATAAAGGAACTATTCGGTAAGAATTCAATTGTCCTTACTGATTGGTCTGAAAGTTTGTTTATTTGTTTTTGGAGCCTCTGGCATTCCTTGAATTTTTCTTTATAATGATCTGCTGCCATTTGAAGACGAAGTTTCAAATCTTCAACTTCTCTTCTCAGTTCGTGTTCTAGTGTATCAGACTTTTCCTATGAGAAAAATAAAAGATAAAAATCTCCTATCTCACATGTAATAGTAAATCCCAACTTCCTTTTCACTTTTTTCTTTCTGGCTTCTAGTTTTTATTTGTTTTGGAGTTTGGGCAACAGAGCCACATTAGCTCCTAATAAATCTAGCTTTATATTCTTAGGACTAAGTTCATTAAAAAACTAAAGAAGAACAATCCCCCTCCTGAGGAATAAGTATTACCCTGTTAAATAACCATAATACCACTTTATGAAGCTAATAAATAAAAAATTCCAAACAAAGCAATATATACCTGACATCAGAAAGTTTAATAACAGAGCAGTTCTTACTAACCATTAAGCATTTGCCTACTTAAGTTTTTCTTAAAGTTTACATTAATTTCAACCCAAGAAGTTACAATGACTAAACAAAATGAATGGAAATTTAAATTTCTGTGATCAGGAATCTGACCTTATTCTGACATAACCCAATTTATTTTGTAAGTTCTAGTGAGCTTTTGATCAAAATGAAAATTCAAAATTAGCCCACTTTACCTGGTCTTTTTTCACAGCATTTAGTTTAAGTTCTGCCACTGCATCAGCTAACTGCTTTTTTACTTTCTCATTTTCCAAGCGTGCAGTATGCAGATCTGCCATTGTTTTATCTCTCACATTTACAGCATCACTAAGTTCTTTAGCCAGAAAGACAATTTCCTGCCGAGTTGCCTGAACCTGTTCCTCTGCTTTACGAAGTTGCTCCTTTAAAAGAAAAGTATCTTCCTGAAGAAAAGCAAATAAATACGTTAGCAACGAAACCATTAAAGTAAAAACAGTAGCAGAAACAAGTTTTACTCATATTTCAACACATCAAAGTTTTAAATTAAACACTGGTTTTCTACTCATGACTTAAAATAAAATACAGAAGTCTATTAAAAAAAACTTATGATAGGACTTTGTGTTGGAATCCCCAGATAACAATCCAATGCACTCAGTATCTCTACCACATTAAACACATGTACACTTAAGTTGATAAGCAACATGCCCAATATTTAAATCCCTGGTTAAAAAGAAATTTGAATGAAAGTTCCTGTCCCCCAAAATCTCTAGCAGCTAGAACTACTTACTGACTCACACTTTTTATGATTACCAATAAAAATAATTTCAAAAACTTCTCTGTAATTACAAAAATTTTGGTTAAGTTTCCTATTAACTAACCGAAAACATATCCGATATAATATTCATATACCATATCGTTATGAAACCACAGGGCAGATTGAAAACTTAGTTCTAAAAATAAAACATTTGATACACAAATATCAAAGTTGAGACAATGGGAAGATAAAAAAGTAATCAGCCTAACCTCTTACCTAACCTAAAAGTATCTTAAAAAGTTAAAATTACTGTTAAGGAAAAAAAAAAAAGAGAAAAAAAGTTTAAATTGCCATAGTAAAATTATTTCCTTTAACATTATGAGCCCAACACATCTAGTTTCCTATTTTTTATCTTTGTACTACAAATAATATGAACTGAGAAAAAGTGCAATCCATTCTTGGTTTTTAAACTGTTAGCTCCTGGGGCGCATGGGTGGTTCAGTTCGTTAACCATTCAACTTCGGTTCAGGTCATGATCTCACAGTTCGTGAGTTCGAGCCCTGCATCAGGGTCTCTGCTGTCAGCCTCTCACTCTGCCCCTACCACACTCACATGCGCACACTCTCTCTCTCTCTCTCTCAAAATAAATAAACATTTTTAAAAAACTGTTAGCTCCTTAGAAGGAAATATAAAGGATTATGTACACTGAGGTGAAGAAAATATTTGTAGATACAACATTAACAGATCTAACTATGTAAATGTCATCAGCAAAAGAGCAACAATAAAACTAGTAGAAGAAAATGTTTGGAATATAAAATTATTTTCTAATCAGCATTTTTTCAAATCAAAAAACTCTAACCATAAAAAAACCCAAAAAATTGGAGAAAGGCATAACCATGAAATTTTTAAAAATTGTTTATTTTTGAGAGACAGAGCATGAGCAGGAGAGGGGCAGAGAGAGAGGGAGACACAGAATGGGAAGCAGGCTCCAGGCTCTGAGCTGGGAGCACAGGGCCCGACGCAGGGCTCGAACACATGACCATGAAGACAATGACCTGAGCTGAAGTCACACACCTAACTAAGCCATCCAGGCACCCCTACCGTGAAATTTTTTTTAAAAGACAGAAATGGCCATTATGCATACAAAAAATAAAAAAAAAATACTCCACTCATCAACAAATAAAGAAGTTAAAACAAACATCAATTTCTTTCAATTAACAAAGATTAAAAAACAGGAATACTCCAATATTCAGATGACTTTAGGGAAATTAGCAAATTCATGAACGGTTAGGCTTATGTACATGTAGCTGGTGTAAAGTTTTTCACCAGATTTTTATAACATTCATCAACACCTTGAAAAAGCACACAGGTTTTGATCTAGCAATTTTATTTTTATGAGTTTCCAAGAAAATTAATAAAAGGTATGGACATTAAATTTAGCTTTACAGGGATTCAGTACAATATTAAAATAATGAAAAATTATTTAAAATTATTTAAAATATTTATAATATTTATAGAATATCTAATATGAGAATTTATTATAAATTCTATTATATATCCTTCACACGATGGAAGTCTGTGCTACCATCACAAACACTAGTAAATACAAATGCTGGGGTATTAATTTTTTTGAAAAGCAATTTGAAAATAACTAATTTTTTTTTTATATATACACATGCCTAGATATTTGTACAAGGATGATGTTTGCATAAGCGGCATGCTTATAAAAGCTAAGGACTATACACAACTAAAAAACAATTACATACACAGCTATTAAACGAGGGATACTATATAGCTGTTATAGTGAATGAGAAAGATCTATATGCGTACTCATACAAGATGTCCAGATTTTCCATAAAAAAAATTTAAGAGGTTTTGGAACACTGTTATAAATATTCTAATTTTTTATAAAATGTAAATTTTAGGGGTGCCTGGGTGGCTCATTCGGTTAAGCGGCCAACTTCAGCTCAGGTCATGTTCTCATGGTTAATGAGAAATAAATATAAAGCTCTTTATATATCCAAAAAAAAAAAAAAAAGTAAATCAATGATTAATTAGGATGGGGGGAGGGGGAGAAGCAAATGAGAATATGGAGTAACTGCTAATGGGTACAGTTTCTTTGGGGGGTAATAAAAATATTCCTAAATTTACTGCAGTATTAGTTGTATAACTCTGTGAATACACTGAAAACCATTAAACTACACATTTTAAATGACAAAAAAAGGTGCAAAAAAGTATGTATATAGCATGGCACCTATTTTTAAGAGTGTGTATGTATGCACATGCTTATTTTTGCAAAAAGAGGATAAACTAAAAACTAATGGGAAATCTTTACATATGTGTATATGTAAAAAAAAAAAAAGGTTTTTTTTAGGGAAGAGACAGTAAATATTTTTGTAATTATTTTCACTTTTGAATGATGCAACTATTTAACATATTCCAAACACAAGACTCAATCAAAAGATTTAAAGAATAGGGGCGCCTGGGTGGCTCTGTCAGTTAGGCATCCGACTTCAGCTCAGGTCATGATCTCATGGTCTGTTGAGTTCGAGGCCCATGTCGAGCTCTGTGCTGACAGCATGGGGCTTGGAGCCTGCTTCCGATTCTGCGTGTCCCTTTCTCTCTGCCCCTCCCTAGCTCTGCTTACTCTCTCTCTCAAAAATAAACATTAAAAAAAAAAAACTAAGAAAGAATACCTACTAATAAGTGTAAAAGAAAAATTTTTAAGTGACCATTTTGTAATCATTAATTTAATAATAACTGATGCAGGTGAGGATCATTAAGGGATCAAAAATACTGGGTGAAAAGCTATTGGCATTACAGGATGTTACCATAATCTCAAAGTATTACCCTACATATTACTCAATAATCACAAAGAGGGGGAAAGCACCCATATAATGAATTCAGGCAGACACAACTTTAAACAAATGATTAATGTTACATCAACATTATGTGACATTTGGTATTGATGCAAAATAATGTACAAGACATCATCTATTTAGGCTTTTTCTTGCCAAAAATGTATGACCTAAATCTAGCTTTGAGGAAACAATAAATAAATCTAGATTACAAACCATCTTCTCAGACAAGCCTGAATTCTTCAAAAATATCAGTATCATAAAAGGTGTATAGGGACCCTATTCTAGATTAGAGCAAAAACACAACAATAATCAAATGAATGTGTGGATCTTTACCACCAGGTCAAGAAATTGTAAAGGTTATATATAAATATATAGTGGCGGGGGGGGGGGGGGGGGGGGGGGGGGCGTGGTGGCAGCCCCTGGGTGGCTCAGTCAGTTAAGCATCTGACTCTCAGTTCTGGCTCAGGTCATGATCTCGTGGTTTCTTGAGTTCTAGCCCTATGTCAGGCTCTGTGCTGAAAGTGCAGAACCTGCTTGGGATTCTCTCTCTCCCCTCTCCCTGTCCTCCTCTCTCTGCCTCTCCCCTACTCATGCTCTCTGTGTCTCTGTTACAAATTTTAAATAAACTTAAACGCTTTATAAAAAATATATACTTGGGGGGCGCCTGGGGGGCGCAGTCAGTTAAGCGTCCGACTTCAGCCAGGTCATGATCTCGCGGTCCGGGAGTTCGAGCCCCGCGTCAGGCTCTGGGTTGATGGCTCCGAGACTGGAGCCTGTTTCTGATTCTGTGTCTCCCTCTCTCTCTGCCCCTCCCCCGTTCATGCTCTGTCTCTCTCTGTCCCAAAAATAAATAAACATTGAAAAAAATATATATATATACTTGGGATAATTTGATTATACTAAAACTGTATTATGAATGAGTATTATCAACGTTAAATTTCTTAGGTATGATCATGGTTTTATGGTTATACAGAATAATGAACCACAACTGTAGATAGGGAAGACATGCTAAAATATCTAGGGTGTGATATAATGCCTGCAACTGACTTCAAATGACTCAGAGGAAAAAAAGGTCATACAAATGGGGAGATAAAGATGGCAAAATATTTGAGGATACATGTTTTCGTTGTTCTGTTCTTCCAACTTCTCTGTAAAACTGAACTTTTTCAAAAGAAAAGGTTGGGAAAAGGGAAGATTAAAAATAAAAAACAAAGAATATCGCATACATTTAATAGACACAGGTTTTACAATCTTCAAACACGTATCACAAAAATACTTACCTTACTTGAAGTTGTAAGCAAGAATGTCCTTTGCAGATTTTCCTTTTCAGCCAAACAGAACTGCAGCCTGCCAATCTCTTCTTTAAAATGAGTAATCATGCTTTCTTTATTCCCATCTAAATTCTTTAGAGTCTGGACCTCTGACACAAGCTTGGTATTTTCTATTTCGGTATTCTTCAAATGTACCTGTTAACAGTGCTTGAAAATGTCAAGAATATCCTAACTCCATAATCTAAATTACTCAAATTTCAAAATACCACTGTTTAGCCCAATTATGATCAAGTGATGGGAAGACCTACTAGATCAGGAGTCAGGAGACCCAAGTTGTACCAAATAACTAGCTAATATGTGGGAACAGAACATAACCTTTCTAAGCTTTTTTGTTGTTGTAAATTTTCCATAGAGATTATATCTAAGGTCTAACAATATTACCTCATCTCTGAAGTTTTCTCCTTCGATTAATGCTTTTTTTTTTTTTTTTTAAGATTTTTAAGTTCTCTTTAAAAATGCAAATCAATTTGGTTGCTGTTGGGGGAACAAATTATTGTTATATAGTCAGATACAAAGGTATGGCGAGATTCTGGAAAACTAAAGGGGTACATTCAAGAACAACATCTTAAGCAATTCAATTTCTGGCTGGTGAGAAGTACTGTCATTTGCTTCCTGTGTGCCTAAAAATACATTTGATTCATTAACTCAACTATATTAATTTTCCCAGGAACTTTGGCAGCAGTTTGCCCATTAACAGATGCACAAGTCAAATTCCATAACTGGAATTATAAAGAGTATAGATATCTTGTTTTCACTATAAAGAGTATCTTGCTTTGGTTAAGAGTACCAGAGAGAAATGAATTGACATACTTTTCACACTTGACTCTAAATGTGTGACTAATGAAACACTAATTCCTGCTCACAAGGATGGAAAAAAACTCCAGGAGTCTCTGGGTGGCTCAGTCAGTTGAGTGTCCAACTCTTGGTTTTGGCTCAGGTCACGATCTCGCTCACAGTTCACGGGACCAAGCTCCACATTGGGTTCTGTGCTGACAGCACAGAGCCTGCTTGGGATGTTCTGTCTCTCTCTGCCCCTCCCCACTGCTCTCTCTCAAATAAACGTTAAAAAAATAATAATAAAAATAGCAAAGTATTCCAGATTCTCTGAAGGTGTCACCAGCCAAGACCTTTGCAGCATCACTTTAGAAACACTATCTAATTTTCGTAATTACCAGCTCAAGTGTTTTATCAATTCCTCTAAATTCTGATAGGACAGGGATGGGTCATATGATCTAATGGGGGGCTGAGGAGAGAGACAAAAGTAATCTCTCTGGTTATTTTTATAAACAATATGGAAAGGAAAGCATGTTTCTGAGGTTAAAAGTAGAACACGATGTCTTATCACACTAAATGGAGACTCCTTTCCATAAAAAAGAAAAACGACAAAACAAAAGTCTCTAAGGAAGAGTTTTACTTCCAGTTTTGGGGACACAAATGAAATACTGTTTGGAATGCTGGGAGGTTGGGGCAGAGTGTATTCAAATGAAGAGTTCAATGTCACTTTGATCCCTACTGATAATGCTTACAGAAAACTGGAGATATTATCACACTATAAAAGAATAAATCCCCAAGACACCTCATTCTTTCTCTTCCTTCCAGATACGAAGTCTTTTAGCAAAGGACTTGTCATTCAGGTGTAAAACAGACACAGAAAGTGGAAAAAAAGCACAAGACCTAAGGGAGAAACAATTTAGAGCTGTAAAGGAAAAATAAATTTTGGATTTGCCCTAAAATGTGCTTACCAATCCTCTACAAACACCACAAGTCCTATTCTAATAACAGAAAGAAAAGAAAGGCAGTGTGAAAAATGACCATTTTAAGGATAGGTCTTTTCTCTTTCCAATAACTTGTCCTTGTTATTATCATTCACTACACCTCTCCACCATCACTGGTTTACTTAGGATCTTCCCAAACCCTTCCCAATACTAACTAGTCTGCCTTCAGAATTCATTTTATTACTGAATTGAAGTGACCGAAGACATAGACATTGTGTTTCTCTTATTATCTCCCACTGTGTTAACAAGAAAACGACACGGAAAGCACTTTATCCACAGAGAAATAATGCTCAGGTCTTTTCCTGGCAAAAAACCTGAAATCCTCTCAGTGAAATTCACAGTAACAGTGAGTAAAAAATTATGAGATGCCAGATTTTCACTTTGTTAAAAAATGCTTTATAACTTTAAAAGTTTAAGCTGCATTTTTGGAGAGTGTTTGCAAAAACACTATGTCAACAGTAACCCAACTACATCAATTTCTCTAGGTATCTGTATTATTTCCCTTTTTCACAAAATCTTGTTCAAAAATCAAACATTACTTTGAGATATAAATTCTTATAAAGGGTCAAATCATAAAACCACCTACAAGTGAATCATCACTATTTTTCTTCCTGTTTTGAGAGTGACACACATGCGCACACACACATGCTCTGGGGATAAGCTATTCAAGAAATAAAATGAGTATAATCCATGGCATGTAAAACGTCCCCATCCATGCTCTCTGCTCTAAGTTGCATGGTGGATTCAATATTTTTTTTTAATTTTTATCTTCCTAAAAAAAAAAAAAAAACCAAAAACAAAACGAAACAAACAAAAAAAACCCAACAACAAACCACCACCACCACCACAAATAAAAAGGAAAAAACCACTGGCAATACAAATCATATTCCAGTTTCTACGTGCAAATTGTAGGTCTCAAATACTAAATATATATATGCACAGGTGTAGGTTTTTCTCTAATCAAATATATACCACAATACATAAGCGAGCCCTTTTCTAATCTAATCAAGAGACTGAATCTCTCCAAATAATACTGACTAAACTCAAAAAGTTCTTGAAATTCCTCATCTGGAACTGCCTTCAAGAACTGCTGAGCACCTGGGTGGCTCAGTTGGCTAAGCGTCTGACTTCAGCTAAGGTCATGATCTCGAGGCTCGTGAGTTCGAGCCCTCCGTCGGGCTCTGGGCTGACAGCTCAGAGCCTGGAGTCTGCTTGTTCTTCTGTGTCTCCCCCTCTCTCTACCCCATAACCCAGTCTCTCTCTCAAAAATAAACAAACATTAAAAAAAAAAAAAACTGCTAAGATAAGAACACTTAAGATAAACATGTCTCAATTTATATCCACAACATTATTGATATTTAGGCTAACCATTCTATTTCAGAATCATTTAAAAATGAAGAACAATTTCAAAAGGTAATGATCTGTCAGATTTCTTAAATTATTTTTTAACGTTTATTTATTTTTGAGATGGAGACTGACAGATCATGAGCAGGGGAGGGGCAGAGAGAGGGAGACACAGAATCCAAAACAGGTTTCAGGCTCCAAGCTGTCATCACAGAGCCTGATGTGGGGCTCAAACTCACAGACCACACGATCATGACTGAGTGGAAGTCGGACACTTAACTGAGCCACTCAGGCACCCCAGAAAGATTATTTTTTAAAATGACATTCTCTGAAGATTATTCTAAAAGTCAAACTCTGAAACATAATGATCATCACAGAAATAAATTAATGTTCTAAGATTTATATGTTCTTAAAGGGGAAAACAATTAGGTTTTATAAATTCTAATAAATAAGTATCTTGTTATAGTATTAAATCTCTTTGACTTATCATGTATTACCTGCTAAGCAACTAAAATACCAGCAAATTCCCTGAAAACTTTTAGGGACTATACACCATGGGGTAGTCTTAAAAGGTCCCCAAATCCTTTCATACTTCCTCTCTGCAAGAAGTGGAACTCAATTCCCTTCTCCTTAAGTGTTGACTGTACCAAGTGAGTTGTCTTTAATGAATAAGACAAAGTAGAAGCACCAGCATACAACTTCGCTGGCTAGGTCACAAAGTGCACTGGGACCTCCTCCTTGCTCTCTCTTGGATAGCTCACTCCAAGGGAAACGGACTGCCATGTTGTGAAAACATTCAAGCAGCCACTGAGGAGGCCACACAACAAGAAATTGAAGGACATCCTGCCAAAAGTCATTTGCATGAGCCACCCTGACAGATCCTCTGGTTCCAATCAAGCCTTTAAGCTGACTGCAGCCCTTACCAACATCCTAACTAACTGCAACTGACCAGGAGACCCTGAGCCAGAACCACGTAGCTAAGCTGCTCCCAAATCCCTAACCACTAAGTTTTGGGATCACTTAAGATACAAGTTACACAGCAAGAGATAACAAATAGAAATGGAAAGAATAGGGGCGCCTGGGTGGCGCAGTCAGTTAAGCGTCCGACTTCAGCCAGGTCACGATCTCGCGGTCCGTGAGTTCGAGCCCCGCATCAGGCTCTGGGCTGATGGCTCAGAGCCTGGAGCCTGTTTCCGATTCTGTGTCTCCCTCTCTCTCTGCCCCTCCCCCGTTCATGCTCTGTCTTTCTGTCCCAAAAATAAACGTTGAAAAAAAAAATTTTTTTTTTTTAAAAAAGAAATGGAAAGAATAAACTACCTTATAAAGTTCCTTCTCATCCTTTTCGGTCTTCAATTGACATTCCAGTTGTTCTCTTTCACACTGTGTCTTCCTGAGTTTATCCTTTAAACTGAATTAAAATAACATTAATACAGACCCAAAAAAACCTTCTTTAAAACATTTTTGGAACATAAACTTATTTTTTAAAACCATCAGAAATACCTGTCTAATTCAGTTTCTTTTTCGATCGCTTTATGTGTCACCGACACAATATCTTCCTCAAGCTGGAGAGCTTTGGATGTAGCATCATTGTATCTCTTCTTAAACTCTTCATTTTCCGTTCTTAAACTTTGTGATACTTCAACAAGACCCTTAGAAACAACAAGGAGTATTTTGGGAAACAAAATTTCTATGACAAATTTGCAAATCTTTAAGAAATCTATGTATTCTTAAATTGTTAATCCCACATTTGTCCCCTCTAAAGTTTATAAACTAGATTAAAAACTAAACCTGAAACTGAAATATACATTCAACTTTATATATACCAAATGAAACAATTATTAATTTCCTTTCCAGACTTCTCAACCACCAATTGTTGATTTCACAAACTTCTCCACCAGAGGGCAGGCAACAAAATATGAGAGAAAACATTTTAAACTGGTCACTTTCATTTTTGACATCCTGTTTTTCAATGCTACTCCAGTGACAAATCAGGTTTCAAATGATACTACCAAGGTTAACAACTTATTACAGCACAGATCGCTAAGTGCCACTGATAATTATACCAAAGCACTAAGTTAAGATACAAGTCTAAAGCAAGGTTCCTAATGATCCTGCCACTGTGGCTCAGAGGCCTGAATACTCAAAGAAACTGAAATACAAAAGTAGTAAATGCAGTTAAAAAAAAAAAAATTACTTCTATTTAAAATAGAATATTCCACTTTGGACAAATAATTTAAAAGTTTAAAAAAATTTTAACACATCCAGACATTTAACTTATAAGAACTTGGTCAAGCTCCTCACTAAGCCCAATTTATGTCTGTAAAATGAAGATTATAAAGCCTCTTCTCCCTCACTTTATAAAATCATGAGAATCAAATGTATCAGTGCATATGAAAGTACTGTTATGGAAAACTATACCTCAAAGAACTGATAAATTAAAACAAACTGGTTTTGTTAAAAAATACTTTTAACTTTCCACATATAAAAGTACCACCCATCTAGGCAACAGCAGAGGCTAAAGGAAAGCACCAGTCTTACAATTTAAATGTAACAAATGTTATACAGTATTTACAAACAACTTTTTCATAAAGTCAGCCAAATTTTTTACTTATAAGGGAAACACCACTTTAAATATATCACTAAAATATAAAAATTGCTCCAGCCCCATACTGGGTGTAGAGATTACTTAAGAATATGAAAATTGCTATGTTGCATCTTCATTAAAGAGCTCATCACAATAATGGTCAGATACACTCTCTTGGTTTTATTTTTGCTCAAAGCAAATGTTTACTGAATCTGCAACATTAACTAAAGACTGTCATACAAAAAAACTAAATGCTTGTCTGATTCCAATGACCACAGAAAGCAAATAATATTCATTCCCTCTGCTGTAAACTGCTGTCAATATCCAAGGATTCTTGCAAAATCTGACACATTTTTCATTTATTTGTCTTGCTCATTTATAAAGATAGCCAGAGAGGTTTCTAATAGCTGTGTTTTGTTTTCTTTTTTTTAATTTTGTATTGCTGGTTTTACCAAATGCTCTTTTTGCACAGTAAATAGCTTACAGATTTAATCTAGGTATTTCTTCCTAAAACAAAGATTAGATTGCCTAGAAGCAAAAACTAGTTTCTGAATCTGTAACTAATGAAGTTCTATATCAGGTAAACAGCATTCTAAAAAATGTATGGGCCAAGAATCAGAAGATTCATAAGCAACTAAATGCAAAATATTAACTAACTGCTTTACCTATGAGCCAAGTTAACTCTACAGTGAGTCACAAATTAATTCTAATGTAACTTGAAGAGTCTTAACATCTTTCTCCAGTACCCATTAAAGCACCTAATAGCTTCTCAGCATCCATACCAATTTTCTAAAGGCATGAAAATGCTTGAGATTCTTTTTCAGGCCTCTAGTTCCCATGTCTGAGTGAAGCATATAGCATCTCAATATGGCTAGGTCCTTCTTAGCATGAAAATGACATTAAAGTCTGTAGTAGTACACACAAACTAAAACTCCTGCTTTCTTTCAAAAACCAACTTTTTAAAAAAGAATTTAGAACACAATCTTTGAAAAGCACTTGAAATTTAAGATAAATATTCAGTCAATATTTGCAAATCATGCCCCAAAACATAATTCTAATATTAAAGTAAAACTTAAACAGATTAAGTCTGCTACACTGTGTACCAAGATAAGAACAATTACAACAATGGAGACAAAAGGAGATTAAGGGATTTGGACATTTCAAATTCATGGAGCCGACTTCATCCCCTCCTCTGAGATTAAAGAATCCCTGCTACCACGAGCCACTATTAGCAATTCCTTCAAGTCAACTCTCAAATATGAACCAGATAAAAATAAATAAGTAAGCCAGCCACTTGGGTGGCTAAGCACACACTAAAAAAATCTGAAGTAACAGAACATACTTATTCTCATGTTTAAAAAAACACCAAATTCTGATTTCAAATGAATACAATCTGAAAAAAAACAGATATAATATTAGGACAACTGGGGTGCCTGGGTAGCTCCGTGGGTTGAGCAACTGACTCTTAATTTTGGCTCGGGTCATGATCTCACCATCATGGGATCGAGTCCAACATAGGGCTCCAGACTGAGCTTGGGGCCTGCTTGGGATTCTCGCTCCCTCTCTGCCTCTCTTCCCCCCTCAAAATAAATAAATATTATCATGGACAACTATTTCGAAAAAGTATTCTGGATTCAAATGTATACAGTGGTAAAATTTAGTAAATTAGTACCTGAATGCTCTAAACAGCAAATTATTGGCAAATGGATTATGTTATTGAGGCCCTTGGGTGGCTCAGTTGGTTAAGCATCTGACTTCAGCTCAGGTGTTGATCTCAAGGTTCATGAGTTTGAGCCCCACATCAGGCTCTGCAAGGACAGCAGGAAGCCTGCTTTGGATTCTCTTTTCTCTTTCTCTCTCTCACCCTTCCCCCACTTATGCTCTCTCTCTCAAAAATAAACATTTTAAAGGATTATGTTTTTTATGGAAATTGTTAGATTTTAAAATGAACCTTACTCATCTGACTTAATCTGGCTTTTCTCAAACACTCTGCTTCCTGAAATCAACTAAAACACTGAGCTATATACAGTTATCTACATAGAATATAAGTGCATCTTCTCTGGTTTCTAGAAACATACCAAAGATATAATTAACAATGTTTAATAACATCTTCACGGCATTAAAATGACAGGATAAAAAACAAAATAAATGATAATTAGGCAATTCCTCTTTCATTAACACTGCCCCCATAAATACAACCTGTTCAGGTTACAGTTGGGTTATTTGTTTTTGTAAACTAATCTGAAATAAGTTATTTTAGCATGTTTATTTCAGTTTATTTTTTATTTTTGTTTTAGAGAGAGTGCTAGCAGGGGAGAAGGGCAGAGGAGAGAGAGAATCTTAAGCAGGCTCCATGCTGAGCTCAGAGCCCAACAGAGGGCTCAATCCCATGACCCTGGGATCACGACCTGAGCCAAAATCAAGAGTCAATGCCCAGCCGACTGAGCCACCTAGGCGCCCTTCAGTTTATTTTAGATCTCTGAATTAAAATATCTTTAAAAGTTAAAAATTCATATAATCTCTTCGGTAACAAATTTATCTTGAGAAAAACATACTTTATTTGAGGAGCAACAACAAATTCACTTAAAAAAATCTGCATCAAGAATAACTATTCTTCTTTTCCAAGAAGACTACTTCTGTCGAAAATCTGCTAAGAGCAAATACACTTATACTCTACCTTTATAATACCAGATTCAAAGGATTAAATTTTTTGGTTAGAGCTAAAAGGGAAGCTAGCCTACAAATAAATTTATTGTTTAAGTTATTTCCTGAACACATATACATTCCACAGACAAGTAATTTTTAATTTTTTTAACATTTTATTTTATTTTTTCAGAGACAAAGAGGGACAGAGCATGAGCAGGGGAGCGGCAGAGAGAGAGGGACACACAGAATCTGAAGCAGGCCCCAGGCTCCGAGCTGTCAGCACAGAGCCCAATGCGGGGCTTAAACCCACAAACGCAAGATCATAACCTAAGCCAAAGTCAGACACTCAACTGACTGAGCCAACCGGGCACCCCATCCACAGACAAATAATTTTTAAATTAGATTTCATGTGTATTTATTAATAAGGGAATATGAAAAAAATAGGACAGTATAATTTTACTTACACGGTCTTTTAATGAAACTGAATGATTTCTGTGTATTCCATTATAATGCTTATTACACATAGATATGTAACATATTTACACACAGATCAAGGGAACAGAAGAAAAGAGAAATACACCAATGCATATATGGTCAATTAATTCACGGAAAAGGAGCCAAGAATATACAACGGGGAAAAAAACAAACTCTTCTCTAAATGGTGTTGGGAAAAGTGGACAGCTACATGCCAAAGAATGAAACTGAACTACTACCTTACACCACATACAACAAATCAACTCAAAGACTTAAGACCTGAAACCATGAAACTCCGAGAAAGAAGCTCCTTGACACTGGTCTTGGAATTTTCTGAATTTGACACCAAAAGTGAAAAATAAAGAAGTGGACTACAGCAAACTAAAAGGCTTCTGCACAACAAATCAAATTATCAAAATGAAAGTGACTCCCAGGGCGCCTGGGTGGCTCAGTCGGTTGAGCGTCCAACTCCGGCTCAGGTCGTGATCTCGCGGTCTGCGAGTTCGAGCCCCGCGTCGGGCTCTGTGCTGACAGCTCAGAGCCTGGAGCCTGTTTCAGATTCTGTGTCTCCCTCTCTCTCTGACCCTCCCCCGTTCATGCTCTCTGTCTCAAAAATAAATAAACATTAAAAAAAAAATTAAAAAAAATAAATAAATAAGAAGTGACTTCCAAAATGGGAGAAAATATTTGCAAATCAACCATGTGGTAAAGGGTTACTATCCACAATTATTTTAAAAATCATACCAAAAAATACACTGAAGTACATCTTATATTATCAACATTCAAGTTAATATATTTTATGGTGGGGTGCCTGGGTGACTCAGTCAATTAAGTGTTCGACTTCAGCTCAGGTCATGATCTCACAGTTCATGGGTTCGAGCCCCACATGGCTCTGTGCTGACAGCTCAGGGCCAAGAGCCTGCTTCAGATTCTGTGTCTTCCTCTCTCTCTTTCAAAAATAAACATTAAAAAAAAAAATGTATCTTATTAAAAAAACTCAATTCATAGTTTAGGCTCCAAAAGAAAACTACAAAACTTAAAGCCATAGTTTGTTTTATTTAGTCCTATTTGAAAAACAAGACTCGTTATTATCATTTGGTTTCCTGAGCCTCAGTTTTTAATCTTCTAATTTTCAAATACATAATGAATATACCTACAAACTATTCATTTTTTTAATTTTTTAAAATGTTTTTTCATTTATTTGTGAGAGAAAGAGCACATACATGCGTAAGCAGGGGAGGGGCCAAGAAAGAAAGAGAGACTCTGAGGCAGACTCCAGGCTCTGAGCTTTCAGCACAGAGCCTGACACAGGGCTTGAACTTGTGAACCACCAGATCATGACCTCAGCCAAAGTCGGCTGCTTAACTGACTTGAGCCACCCAGGCGTCCCGAAACTGCTCATTTTTATGTAAGTCTAAAAAATGTAAGGTTAGGGTAAAAAAAGACTAATCGATACAATGGAATATTACTTGACAATAAAATGAAATAAAGTACTGATAATTATCATACTATGGATGGGCCTTGAAAACATTATGCTAAGTGAAAGAAACCAGTCACAAAAGGCCACACATGATTCCATTTGTATGCAATGCCCAAAATACACAAATCCACAGAGAAAGAAATTTAGTTTAGTGGTTGCCTGGGACTGAGGGGAAAGGAAATAGAGAATGACCACCAACAGGTAACAGGTTTCTTCTGTGGTGATGAAAGTGTGCTAAAATTAGGTTATGGAAATGACTGCATAATTCTATACATGTAATAAAAACCACTGAACTGTCTATTGTAAAGTGTTGGACTTTATGGTATGCCAGTTATAAATCACATTTCAATAAAGCTGTTTTTAAAAAAAGATCAATTAGATAAGCTCAAATCTTTAGTCCTTTCAGGCAAAAGTATAGAGCGTCATTAAGAGTACTAGAAGGAGACACATAGCCTGCCTCTACCACTTTACAAACTGTTCAATCTTAGGCAGGTTAAGTAACACCTCTGTGCTATCTTTGTAAAATTCCTACGTAACAATGCCCACCTTATAGGATTAAATGAGTTAACATAAGTAAACACTAGGAACTGCACCTGGCTTGCATTAAGTATAATGACTTATTTTTATTAATCAGCCTATTATAGGAGAGAAAAATCTACACTTAGAGGTGAATTAGAAATGAATGTAAAAATTATCCTTAATTATGAAAATAATTACTTTTTAAATCTAGGGTACCCATGAATGACAGAACACATACAGATCACATTAAAATACAGGTGAAATATAATATGTATTTTATAATTATTTATAGATGTTAGTTGGTTTCAGTTTTAACCTACTTTGTAATCCTAATTTATTCCTTTAAGCAGCCAATTACACAAAATAATCTAAAACATAATTAAACATAACATTTAAGCCAATCTGTTTTTGATAACCTTAACACATCCAATTCTTTTAATTTACAAAATAGGAGTGTTTCTATTGGCATTTTACAATGAAAAAAGTCAATATTTGTAAAAGATCAAAGTTTTTATTTTATAAACATTTAACTCAGTATCTGTCAGGTACTGAATGGCTAACAAGCTAATCTTATTTTATAAAACAATGAAAACACAATTTCTTCTATCATGAAGAAACTGAAGGGTGCTACAGATCATTCTGTTCCATACTGTCCATTCTAAAATTTTAAGTGAAATTGTAGATGATACATCGTAATAGCCCTTCAGATATTCAGCAGTACATACACCCAGGACCTCAAAGAGAAAACATTTAGAAGACAATTCTTAACAAGCATCAAGATTGTTTTTTAGAATTCACACCACAAAAGAGATTTAAAACAAGTGCCAAGAAATGTCATGGATTTTATAAGCCACCCAACTAAGGCAAGCGACATCTAGCTGCCCAGCAGGCCTGCCTGATTAGAGGAAGACTGATTCCGGAGGTGAAAAAAAAAAAAAATTCATTGAAAAGCCCCGTGATTAGAAAAGAAAAGGAACTATTTTTCCCTACAAGCCCGTTATTTCATCCCCAGAAATAAACAGGCAATTGCCAACATATGACTAAGAAATTTTTTTCAACATTATATAAGTATCATTTCTAGAATCTGAGGAAAATGGCATGGATTTCATATTTAGATTTTATTCACATTTTGGTTCTTTCTCTAGATCATCATTATGAAAACTAGTAAAATAATAGCTACATGTAGTGAGAATCTATTATGTAACAAACACCGTTCTAGGTCCTTTTTTTAATTACCATTTTCATAGTATAGAATACAATTAAAAAAAAAATATATCACTTCTACCTGTTTCATCTTCCCAGAGTACAATACCAACACAAGAATAGTAGCAGGGAAGAAGTCCCCTCCAAGATTAGTGTCTGTCATCAAGACTTATGAGTTGCCATAAAAACTTCTGAAGACCTCTTCTAGATACAAGAGCCACAATCTCCTACAAATTTTATTTTGCTTCATTAATCCCCTGCCCTCAATCTACCACTTTCTCAATCTAAGTATGTCAGAATAAGCTCTCTTATAATAGTCTTATCTGTAGCGCTTAACCCTCGTCATGTGGACAGCATTAACTCTCAGCTAATACTCGACTGAACCAGAGGCACGACCTGATGCACATGAGTAATCTCACACAATTGAAAGCCTACCATTCCACCATTCCTATTCTTCCAATCATCCATTCTTCCCTTGGATTTCAAGTTGATCAGATTTGAAACCTCAAAGGCCACATTTCAGGGCATTTTTGATCTTATGGGCCAAGTACATGCTGTGATGGGCCATTTTCATGAATATCATCTTCCATCTCACTTCCACCCCTCTAATTTGTTGTAATTGAGTGAAAGAAAAAAAGATTGGCATTCCACTTTGGAAAACCGACAAACCCAGGCACAAACGAAATAAACATGTAAAGAATAGAGAGAAAAGAATAAGAACTATACAAAACAGCCAGGGAGTTAAAATAACTGGATACATAATTTAGCTGAAATGTCCTAACAATCAAGGTAGGCACATTTGGTATCTTATCATATTTTAATTCAGTATACCTGCTTTTACTGCAAGATACTAATAGTAAAACTGGGGGAATAACTGCTTATTTTAAACAAAAAAGGCAAATGGTAATAACAGAGACATTACAGATATCTAAAGGAAGAGTTAGAATTGTACACATTGTTTGATAGGTCACCCTCTAACTCAAAAGAATACTCTTCAAACAACTACAAGTCAAGAGAAAGTTTTTCAGAATTTAAGCCCTATTTCTGTATCATCTCTGTTCAGGTGTGCAATTTACAACTACTCTACTGGAGTATAAAAATTATTGAAAATCATTGTACTGTTGGTTCAAGTAATAATTAACTGCTCTAGGCCTTGTTGGACAAGAGAATGGAACACATCCCATCTTTAGGGTCAATCATGTCAAAAGACATAAGAATATCCAACTAGTTGTGAGATTGTGATATGTATCATCGCAATCTGTGTTTGAAAAACTAACCAATTACTTTTCTTATGAAAATAACAGGTCAATGACCAGGTGATTGCTTTTTATTTTCAACTATTAAGTTATATCATTTTTTTTTAATGTTTATTTTGAGAGACAGAAAGACAAAGAGTGAGCAGAGAGGGGAGAGAGAGAATTCCAAGCAGGATCCACACTGTCAGCACAGAGCCCGATGTGAGGCTCAAACTCACGAACCTTGAGATCGTGACCTGAGCTGAAATCAAGAGTCAGATGCTCAGCTGAGCACAACTGAGCCACCCTAAATTAAATCCATTTGCATCTCTAATGAAACTACACTGTTTTATACTTATACTTCTTTTTCTTGCCTCAAGAAATTGTGCCAATTTTAATTATGTGGGTTTTTTTTTTTTAGGATAATTTATAGCACTGCTCACATCAAAGATTTCAAAATTTTGCCTAATACTACATTTCATTGAATTCCACTTTTTGGAAAAGTAACTTTAACTATTTTGTTCTATTCTCCCCTTAATCAGCATTTATCACTCCTAATTGTACTTCCAACCGCCCCCCCCCCCAAATACTGATCAATTATTTTACAATTAGATATAAATCATATAGAAACAGTTGTCAGTTGCGGCACCTGGGTGGCTCAGTTGGTTAAGCATCCAACTCTTGATCTCAGTTCAGGTTGCAACCTCGTGCAGGTGGGACTGAACCCCACGTCAAGCTCTACACTGAGCCTGGGGATTCTCTCTCCCCCTCTCCCTACTCACATGCTCTCTTTCTCTGTCAAAATAAACAAACATTAAAAAACAAAACAAAAAACACAGTGGGGTGCCTGGGTCGCTCAGTCGGTAACCAACTGCAGCTCAGGTCAGGATCTCAAGTTCATGAGTTTGAGCCCCACATGGGCACTCTGTGCTGACAGCTCAAATCCCGGAGCCTGCTTCAGATTCTGTGTCTCCTTCTCTCTCTCTGTCCCTTCCCTGCTTGTGTGCTCTCTCAGAAATAATAAATGAATAAATTTACAAAACAAAAAAACAAAAAAAAACAGTTGTCAGGAACCACCTCATCAAGTCTGGTACCAAAAAAAGCTAAAAGTATTTTAAACATTTATAACATAAAAGAAGCTGTGGAAGAAAACTGACAGGAACAGACCTATTCTCCTCTAAGTATGTATCTAAATGCTTTTTTTTTAAACAGGTAGTTTTTATTCACTTTAACTGGTTTAAGTTCTTGAAAAAGTGGAGTTTCAAGCAATATACTATCAACTCCAAACAGTGACATAAAACACAACTAACCTTATGCTCTGCTTGCAGCTGGTCACATCTCTCTTTCTCATGGTTAAGCTCTCTTTCCATTCTTCCAACTTGTTCTCGAAGTTGTGTTGTATCTTTTTCCAGGACAGCAATTAACTTTAATAGTTCTTCTTTTTCTTTCATGGTTTTCTCAATTTTCAACTATAAAACAAAAAACTCACATTGATTTTTTATAATCCTAAAATGTGATTAGTTGTTTTCCATCTCAAAAAAATAGTAAAGAAATGCACAAAAAGAACTTTTACATACGATTTACTTCATGAATCATACATGTAAATAAAAACTCATAAATCAAATTTAAACCTTCTTTGGGCAAAAAAGGAAACATTAAAAGGTATAAAATCAATAAACTTTATTATGAAGTTGCCTGCTAATCAATTTTCAAATTAGTACCAAAAACAGGGCATATTAAGTTTTCTAAGTGACTTAATTCTGGGTTTTTCTTGAGTATTTATCAAGAAGAAAATGTATACCACTTTTTTTTTTATTTAAATTCAAGTTAGTTAACATACAGTACAGTCTTAGCTTTAGTAGAACCCAGTGATTCATCTCTTATATATGACACACAGTGCTCATCCCCCAAAAGGTGCCCTCCTTAATGCCCATCACGCATTTAACCCACCCACCCCCCTAACCAGCAGCCCTCAGTTTGTTCTCCGTATTTAAGTGTCTCTTTATGGTTTACCTCCCTCTGTTTTTATCTTATTTTTCCTTCCCTTCCTCTATGTTCATCTGGTGAGTTTCTCAAATTCTACATGAGTGAAATCACATATCTATTTCATAACTCTTCTTAAATGTAAAGCTAGGAGAGATCTTTGAATGTACTAAGAACTCCCTTGTGTGTTATAGAAGACCATCACCTATGGCATTACTCTTAAAACTTTTGGTACTAAAGAATAACAGCTGCTCTATTTAGCTAAATTAAAACAAACTTTAAAAAACTGCAAATTTTAGGACAAAAATGCAGATTGTAACAATAAATTACATAATTGATTTTGGGGGGCACACTAACAGTAACTCAATTCAGCAAAACCTCCAATATTCTAAAATTACTAATTAAAGGACGTAAAATAGTAGTAAATAAAATAGTTAACTTTTCTCTTACAAGAAACAGTCTTTGATTCAAATGGGAATAATGAAGACTCAGAGGGAAAATTCTGCAAAGGAGGCATCATACATTTAGCTAAAATAAAGTTTTCTCCTGGTACACTAAATTTGTTTCTCCAGGGTCATGGAATCAAACTGATTAAACTCTAAAATGGGTCTTATGAAAGTTGGAAGAGCAGCAAATTTTTAGAATGACCCTTCTACCTCTTCCATCAGACCAAATGAAAATAACAGCAATCAAATGCCCTCAAAAAAGAAAAGTTTATTTATTCACTAAACTTCCTTTATACCTTATATTCTGAAAACCAATTTCTGGCTCTAAATTTTCTGGCAGCTTAAAAGTGAAAACATATCTTGACATGGTGCAACAGAAACATTATGAAAGAACCAATTTTCCCAGTGATACACTTAACTGGCATATACTTTTTGAAGAGTTTACTGAATGTTAAATAGAAATTTTAAAAAGGAATTCAAATTAGATAAAAATGTATACAAGTCTAATTCCTGCCTCCAATTTTGTATCTGAAATCTTCCAAGCACACAAAATAGTGAAAATTTTATAACTGACACCCATCACCTAAATTCACTGATTATTAATATTTCACCATGTTTAGCTCCATCTCCCTTTATCACTTGCTTATGTTTTTGTTTTTTGTTACAACCATTTGAAATTGCAGACATTTCACCCCTAACTACTCAGAGCAAGCATCTCCTAAAGACAGTCTCCTTTTCAACAACTACCACTATCATAAATAAGAAAATTAATAATTTTATAACATCCAATAGATAGATATTTTGGGAATAATGGTAGATAACTATGACCTATTTTTTAAAAAATCGAAAATTCAATCAAGGTTCACCTGTTAAATTAACACAAGACATAACCCTTCAATGTCAACAACAGTGCCACAAATAATATCTCATGTATTTGTACTATTTTTGTGTAGTTTTAGATAAAACCATTAAAGATTTTGATGAATGTGGAAATTCAAAATATTTATCAAAAAAATTGGGTCAGATATAAAAATATTTTATCTCAGCATTTAAGAGACAGAAATTTCAATTTTCTTTATCAAGTACCCCTTATGAGTAGGAAGAAGTGGAATAAATTGTGCGACATCCCAATTAACTTAGAGAAGGAACATAAGAGAGACACCGATGCCTGAATGTCTGTTTTTCTGCTGGACGTCCTGAAATCAGGGTGGTCTAACAAGTATTCAAAAAGCTGCAATATAAACACTAACTGCATTCTTTTTAAGAGCTGGGCTGGTTTCAGCATCTTTGACTAGCATTCAAATACCAGGCTAAAAACCTTGATCATCAGGCGGCTGTCACCACAAAATGTTTCAGTCACCCTATAAAAGTTACATTTCTTTATTTAAGATAAGAAAGGAATTTCTGGAAGGGAAAGGGAAGATATGAAGAATTCACAATAAAAAATGGTTCCTTCAGTTTGACTACCTAATGAAAGTATTGTATCTATGACCTGTTGTGTTTTTTCTCTAGCCTCAATTTTTGAAGATAAGGATATAAAATCAATAAAATCAAAGGCATAAAATATTTACATATAAAAAATATCCATCTGGGGCACTCGGGTGGCTCAGTTGGTTAAGCGTCTGACTCTTGGTTTCAGTTCAGCTCATGATCTCACAATTTGTGGGTTCGAGCCCCATGTCAGACTCTGCGCTGACAGTTCGGAGCCTGCTTCAGATTCTCTTTCTTCCCCCTCCCTCATGTGGTCTTTCTCTCTCTCTCTCAAAATAAATAAATAAACTTTAAAAATCCACCTGACTATAAAGAAAAAGCAATGACCTGCCGGATTAAACATGAATGTAAATTAACCAAAAATACATAGCGAACCAACTAAATAAGCCGTTTTTCAGAAATTCAAATGTAACATTCTGGTTTCTTAGATTTTAAAGATACTGAAAAAGATCTTAAAGTAAGAATGTTGTTCTATTTTCTCCTTCAATAATTACTAAAATTTAAGACGTAAGACATTAGACCATCTGCACAGTAAATTTCTATTAGAGCCAATGAGATGACTCCCAAATAGTCAATTAAAAGAATGTAAGAAGGCTTTCACCTTCTCTCTTTAAATTATGGTTAATCCAGGCTATTTACTTGATAAAATGAACACGGAAATCATTCTAAAAATGCTCAACCTAAGAGACAGGGATATTCCCTGATTCACCCTTCCACAGTGAAATCAATAACTGACAGGAAGATTTTTAAAGTATTCCAAAAACAACACTCTAAGTTTATTATTTAAAAACCATTTGATTTTCAGGTTATTCTTTTAAATTCTTTAAATGCCAACATGAGCCCTGTTCTTAAATTATCTATAAATCACTAGTTCACTGTTGGTACTAACCTCAAGAAGACCAGCTTTTGTGGTCACCACCAACATGTCAGAATTTCCTTCATCTTCCATAGTAAGTAACTCTTCAACTGGAGAAGAAGCCCGAAACTGGAAAGGTGTACTTGCTCCACGAATTTCACCCTTATGGGTAACATAACAGAACTGATAAAATTCTCCATCATCATTTGGAAGGTAATATCCTAAAAGAAAATTAATTAAAAAATTGATTAACTTTCCTATTATGAAATTAATGGGGTTTTTTCCCCCCATTTAACACACCTTGCCACACCTTGCCTGCTCATTCCTGACCCTGTTTAGGTTGCAGGTGGGAATATATCATATAAAGAAATCTTCCCTCAAATTTGACACTCATTCCACGAAAAGAAAGATATTGAACGGAAGGAATGTGCTGTACATGAATTGTATAAAAGAAAGGCAGATGAAGTCCACTTTTGCAGAATAAAAAATAACCTTTGGAATCACACAGCTTTATTCAGCTGTACTACTAGACATTGTAACTCAACCTCCCTGAGTCCCAGTTTCTTATCTGTAAAACAGCTATGAAGCCATCTACCTCAGAATTACAATCTATAACATATTTACACCATCTAGCCCATTATCTGATGAATAGGTTTGATATTTGTTCCTTCTTCCTTCGTCTCAACTGTTACCCCCTTTTAAGATTTGCTGGATTATCCCTGCTCAAAATTAAACTTCACCTCTTCTTCTCCAAAGCTCCCAGTATTTTTTACAGTTAAAATACATACATACATACCTACCACACTCCATAGTACTTTCAATTACCTTGCTTTATATCCTATCAAGAACTCAGAAATACTGAGGGCAAATATATAATATATATAAAAATTCTAGCATCCCCCACAATGACTTTATAAGAAGGAAGCATTCAGTGGTGGTGAAATGACTACACAAAGATCAATACATTCACCTTATCTTGAATATTCATAACTACCCAGAAATTTGTAATCACTACATCTAGTCTTTCATAACTTGAAATTTTCAACCTCATTATTATATCTACTTCACTTGATTTCCTTCTTTAAAAAAATATTTAACTCTCTTCCTAAGCAAAAAGAGAGAGGATCATTGAAAATACAAGAAAAGCCTGGGACAACTTGTGGTGCTTGCAAGAAAGAAGTTCCCAAAAAAGAATTCAAAGTGGCAGGGGGTGGAGGGAATGTCAAAAAACACACGAGCCCACCTGATGGAGCTCCCAATGGCCAAAGAAAGCTAGAATAATTTGCACAACAAAAAAGGATAGTATTAGATTTTATTCCATAGAAAAAAATAAATACCTATGAGCTTATGGGGAAAGAGACAACTACTCAACATAGTAATTCCAACTAGTAAATGTCCAAGGAATGAGCATAGAAAAGCACCATTAGTGAAACACAACAATAAAAATTGTTGCAAGCTAGGGACTCCTGGGTGGCTCAGTTGGTTAAGTGCCAGACTCTTGGTTCCAGCTCATGTCATGGTCTCACGGTTTGTGGGTTCGAGCCCTGCATCCGGCTGTCTCAGCTGACAGCACAGAGTCTGCTTGAAAATTCTCTCTGCCCCTCCCCTGCTTGAACACACTCACTCTCTCACTCTCACTCTCTCTCAAAAACATAAACACACATGAAAAAAAAAATTTTTTTAATTGTTATAGGCAAGATCTTACTGATACTAAAATTAGAGGGTGAAAATTTGAGGAAAAACAAGGTATTTCCTTAGTCTCAAACTAACTCCCCCATAGTATTCATTAATTACAAAAGGAAAAATACTAACTTTACAGTAGAGAAACCCAGCAGATACCAAGTGATCAAGATTAACAACACCAGGGCCACCTGGGTGGCTCAGTCAGTTAATCATCCAACTTCAGCTCATGATCTCAAGGCTCGTGAGTTTGAGCCCCGCATCAGGCTGTGTGCTGACAGCTCAGAGCCTGGAGCCTGCTTCAGATTCTGAGTCTCCCTCTCTCTCTCTAAAATGAATAAACGTTTTTTTAAAAAAAATTCTTTTTTTAAATTAAAAAAAAGATTAACATCACCAGGAATGAGAGAGGAACATCAAGTACTCCCTGATACAACGCACTGAAGAGTGACTATAAAACAGCACTTATACGATATTCTTCCAAAAAATGTATACCCTTAATCTAATCATGAAAAAACACCACCACACAGAAGTGCCTGGGTGGCTCAGTCAGTTCAGTGTCCTACTCTCGATTTTAGCTCAGGTCAGGATCTCACGGTTCATGAATTCCAGCTCCACATTAGGCTCTGCACTGACAGTGGGGAGCTTACTTGGGATTCTCTCTCTCCCCTCCCCCACTTGTGCACACTATCTCAAAATACATTTTAAAAAACTTAAAAAATGTGGGGCACCTGGGTGGCTCGCTCAGTCGGTTAAGTGTCCGACTTCGGCTCAGGTCGTGATCTCGCGGTCCGTGAGTTCAAGCCCCGCATCGGGCTCTGTGCTGACAGCTCAGAGCCTGGAGCCTGTTTCAGATTTTGTGTCTCCCTCTCTCTGACCCTCCCCCATTCATGCTCTGTCTCTGTCTCAAAAATAAACGTTTAAAAAATTTTTTTTTCTTAAAAAAAATGTTTTAATAAAATAAAAAATAAGATTGTAAAAGTCATGAAAGAGGACAGAATGAGGAACTGTCACAGATTGGAGGAGATAAGAAGATAGGACAATTAAATGTAATGTGGAATTTTGGATCGGATCCAGGAACAGAAAAAAGAACACTACTGGAAACAATAAAATTTAAATAAGGTTTATACTTTAGTCACTAGCAGTGCACCAATGTTAAATTCCTAATTTTTTAAATAAATGTACTATGTAAGATGTTAACATTAACGGAAGCTGGACAATGGGTACACAGAAATTCTGTGTACTATTTTTGCCACTTTACATCCAAAATTATTTCAAAATATATAGTTTAAAAATAAGGGTAGCTCTAGCAATATATTTTTAAAAGCTTTTAAAAACCCCACCCTCCTAGTATATACAACCAAATTTATTAAGCCATGGCTGAGTAACTTTGCAAATGGCCAAGAGACTTACATAAAAAGTTTAAATAGAAAAAATACATATAGTCTGACTAATCGGCTCTAGTATCGTGACATTAGAAATTCTATCAACTAGAGGCACCTAGATGGCTCAGTCGGTTAGGCATCCGACTCTCAGTTTTGGCTCAGGTCATGATCTCATGGTTCAAATGATCAAGCCCCACATCAGGCTCTCTGCTGACAACATGGAGCCTGCTTGGAATTCTCTCTCTCCCTGTCTCTGCCCCTTCCCCCACTTGTGCACATGTGCGTGCACATGCGGTCTCTCTCTCTCTCTCAAAATAAACATAAAAAAAAAAAGGCATGGACCTGTTCAAAGTTTTCTCTCCCTCTCCACCACCCACGCTGTGTCTGTCTCTCTCAAAATAAATAAATAAACTTAAAAATTCTACAAACTAGATACTCAAGGTCTGATAAATCACACAAAGGTAATCCACTAAGAAATGGTTCAAATGTTGTTTGAGATACCAGATGTAGTTATTCAGAGCTGAAATCTAAAGCTATCTAGAAAAATCTCTCATTAGGTTAATAACATTGAAAAGAAAATAGGAAAGCAATCAGTTGAATTACAACAAGAGTTCATTTGGGCAAAGAATTACATTTATATATCTGTGTTAGTTGTTTTGAGTTTTGCATTTCAAGATTCTCATGACTCATTCACAAAATGAGCAAGGTCATTTTGGATTGTGCTTAAAATCTCTTCTAGCTCTAATACTCTATGACTAAGTTTTTCATGACTATCTTGACTTTATATAACAAATGAGTTTTAGGCAGGCAGAAGCTTTTATTTCTGAATTTCAAAGTAATATTTCACCTGGTAAATTTTTAAAAGCTTGGAAAACAACTGCATTTATGCTTAGCTCCCATGAAAATGCTCTTAACTAACTGGATACTTTTCTCTTTATTTACTGCATTTTAACTTCATGGTAAACCAACCACCAGTGAAATCATTAGTCACTGTAACAAATTCATTAAGTTAACTGAAGAAAATTAATCACATTAAAAATGACTGAACATTGAGCATTCAACTCTTGTTTTCGGCTCAGGTCATGATCTCAGTTTGTGAGATCGAGCCCCACATTGGGCTCTGGAAAGACACTCACTCTTCAATGAAAAATAAGCAAAAAAACTTAAAAAAAAAAATGTTTATATTTGAGAGAGCACAAGCAGGAGCGGCAGAGAGAGGGGCACACAGGATCCGAAGCAGGCTCTGCACTGACAGCAGCGAGCCCAATGTGCAGTACAAACTACAAGATCAAGACCTGAGCCGAAGTCTGACACTTAACCGACTGAGCCACCCAGGTGCCCCAAGCAAAAATAAAAATCCTTTTAAATGCCTAGATAAAATATGTATCCTACACTCATATTTATATTCTTATGACTTTTGCTAAACAAAGACACTAATTAATTCAACTTTGGTATGTTGGACATGCCTAAGTAGACCATTACAATGGAGAACAACATTTTTAATGGCATAAAAATTAAATTAAAACATTTAATTTCATCAAGTTGTGCAGTTTTCGGTTCTTACCTTGAAATGCTAATACACAATTAACTGTTGATCCTTCTATGTAATGTTCAGGCATAGGAGACCATAAAAATGTGTAATAATCACGAGCAGTACTCCATCCAACCTAAAGGAAAATAATAAGAACACAGAGATTATAAGTAGTTTAATACTAGAGTGATATAGCATATTGTCTTTTACTGCATCCTAAAATTAAAACATGGGTTGCTATGTTTACAAATTATTGGGTATTTTAACAAGCCTGTCAAATTTTTATGATTTTTATTAAGCTATAACATAGTGTTATAAAGACCTATGTAAATGCAACAGTCCAGTTTCTATTATGTATTAAAAATACAATTTGATACCCAATTTCTCAAGGAAAATCTTAGTATGCACGTGATCAAATATAACAACTCATGTTTCTCTTTATAACTTCACTATACGTTAAGTTTTTAAAACTTACTATTTTAGATCTCAAATTTCAGTGTGTTTAGATTTCCTTCTCCCCATTAACGTGGTAACTAAAACTTCACTAATCTCTCATATCAAGTCTTACCTGCAGCCAATTGGTAAATTTTGTAAAAAGGCATGTATTGCCCAGACATTAATATACACATATAGAAAACCTATGTCCCACCTATATCTAAAACATCTTCAACTTACAAAATGTCTATGTTACATATATCAGTCTATATTTTCTAGACAAACTGTACAGTGTTAAATACTGAGTATTAGAGATGTTTAAAACAAGTACACACATAATTCATTCTACTGTGCTTCACAAATACTACATTTGGGTTTTTTTTGTTGTAGCTGTTGTTTTTACAAAGTGAAGGTTTGGGATAACTGAATCAAACAAGTCTATCAGCACCATCTTTCCAACAGCATTTGTCGCTTCATAACTATCACATTTTTGGTAATTCTCACAATATTTCAAACTTTTTCATTACTATTGTATTTATTATGGTGATCTGTAAGCAGTGGTCTTCAATGTTATAATTATTTTGGAGTGTCATGAACCACAGCCATATAAAATAATGAACTTAATATGTATGTTCTGACTGCTCCACCAACTGGCCCATTACTCTCTCCCTCTCCTCAGACTTCCCTATTCCCTGAGACACGATACTGAAATCAGGCCATTTAATAAACCTACAGTGGCCTTTAAATGTTCAAGTGAAAGGAAAAGTTGCACATCTCACTCTTAAAATCAAAGAAGTGATTCAGCTTAGCAAGGAAGTATGTCAAAAGCCAAGACAAGCCAAAAGCTATGTGTCTTGCACCAAACAGCCCAATTAGGAATGCAAAGGAGAAGTGGCTGGGTGGCTCAATGCGTTGAGAGTCCAACGCAGTCGTGATCTGAGGGTTTGTGAGTTCAAGCCCTGCATCGGGCTCACTGCTATCAGTACAGAGCCCACTTCGACCCTCTATCTCCCTCTCTCTCTCCCTCTCTCTCTCTCTCTCTGCCCCTCCCCTGCTCATGCTTGCTCTCTCTCAAAAATAAAACATTTAAAAAAAAAAAAAAAGGAATGCAAAGGAAAGTTCTTGAAGGACATAAAACTACTACTCCAGGGGCACCTGGGTGGCTCAATCAGTTGAACATCCGACTTCAGCTCAGGTCATCATCTCCCACTCCTTGAGTTTGAGCCCCCGTGGGGCCCTGTGCTGACAGCTCAGAGCCTGAAGCCTGCTTTGGATTCTGTCTCCCTCTCTCTCTGCCCCTCCCCCACTCATGCTCTGTCTCTCTCTCTCTCAAAAATGAATGTTAAAAAAAAAAAAAAAGTACTACTCCAGTGAACACATGAATGGTAAGAAAGCCAAACAGCCTAATTGCTCATATGGAGAAAGTTTTAGTGGTCTGGATAGAAGATCAAACACCACCACAACACTATCTCAAGCCAAAGCCTAATCTAGAGCAAGGCCCTATCCTATCTTCAATTCCATTAAGGCTGAGAGAAGTAAGGAAAGTGCAGAAAAAAAACTAGCAAAAGTTGGGTCAGGAGATTTAAGGAAAGAAATGTCTCCATAATATAAAGCACAAAGCAAAGCAGCAAATGTTAATGTAGAAGCTATAATAAGTTATCCAGAAGACATAGCTAAGATATTTAATGAAGGTGGCTACACTAAACAACAGATTTTCAATGTAGATGAAACAGCCTTTATATTGAAAGAAGGAGCCATCTAGGGCTTCAGAGCTAGAGAGAAAAGTCAATGCCTGGCTTCAAAGCTTCAAAGGACAGGCCAACTTTCTTGTTAAGGGCCGATGCAGCTGGTAATTTTAAGTTGAAGCCAATTCTCATTTACCGTCTCAAAATTTCTAGAATTATGCTAAATCTACTCTGCTTATGCTTTATAAATGGAGCAAAGCCTGTACGATGGCACATCTGTCCGTAACATGGTTTACTAAATAATTTTAAGCCCACTATTGAGACCTACTGCTCAGAAAAAAAGATTCCTTTCAAAATCCTGCTCACTCACAAAGCAGCTGTTCACTCAAGACCTCTGATGAAGATATACAAGGTTAATGTTGTTTTCATGCCTGCTAACACAACATCCATTCTACAGCCCATGGATCAAGAGGAATTTCAACTTTCAAGTCTTATTACTCAAGAAATACATTCTGTAAGGCTATAGCTGCCATAGCGATTCCTCTGATGGATCTGGAAAACCTTCTAGAAAGAATTCACGATTCTAAAACGTTATTCATGGGAACAGCTCAAAACATAAACAGGAGCTTGAAGAAGCTGATTCCAACCCTCACGGCTGACTTGGAGGGTTCAAGACTTCAGTGGAAACAGTAACTACAGATGTGGCGGAAACAGGAAAACTAGATGTAAAGCCTGAAGATGTGACTGAATTGCTGCAATCTGATGATAAAACTTGAGTGGGTGAGGATTTGCGTCTTATGGAGGAGCAAAGAATGTGTTCTTGAGATGGTGCAGACTGTTGAAATGACAACAAAGGATTTAGAATATTATAGGAACTTAGTTTATAAAACAGCAGTAGCGTTTCAGAGGATTGACTCCAGATCTGGAAAAACGTCCTACTGTGGGTAAAATGCTACCAAACAGCATTCACTGCATGCTACACAAAAACTGTGAAAGGAAGAGTCAATGCATGTGACCAACTTCACTGGTTTTTTTTTTTTTTGGTTTTTTTTTTAAGCAAACTCCACTCCCCAGTATGGGGCTCAAACTCACAACCCCAAGATCAAGAGTCACATGCTCCACCAACTGAGCCATCCACGTGCCCCTTTTGTTGTCTTATTTTAAGAAATTGCCACAGCCACCCCAACCTTCAGCAACCATCACCCTGACCAGTCAGCAGCCATGAATCATCAAGGCATAACCAGCAAAAATATTATAAATCACTGAAAGCTCAGATGATGGTTAACATTTTAGCATAAAGTATTTTTTAGTTAAGATATACATCATTTTTTTTAGACATAATGCTATTACGCACTTAACAGACTACAATACAGTGTAAACATATCTTTATATGTGCTGGGAAACCAAAGAAAATCATGACTTACTTCACTGTAGTGACCTGGAACCCAACCAAGCTATGCCTATACTAGATATCTATTTGCAGGTAATATAAGAAATTATGCCTCATCCACAGGGTTAGATTATACATATGTTCTATAATTCTGATAAACCTAGGATTATAGATTACAGAACACTGAAACTAGAAGAATATTAGCAATCTTTAGTCTCTCAAGGAATGTTTTCAAACTGTAGGTCACAATCCAGTAAGAAGTGGTAATATCAATTTAGTGGTTCACAGCCCTATTTATTTTTTAATTATACAGAATTAGAAGTATGAGTGCATGAAGGCTAAATTACACTTCCTGAAAATTTATTTCCAGTGTATTTGCGTACAAGTCTTTGCTAGGTCAAATCACATTTCTTTCTTTCTGTATGTCACAGTCAAGAAAACCATTTGAAAACATTTGAAAGATGCTATTCGTCTCTATAGATGAGAAGTTTGAGTAATCCATGATGATCTACTTCACTTAAAGGCTGCTATTTTTTCTCTCAGAACTGTTAGAAGAATGAGATTAGATGATGAACATAAAAGCAACACCCAACAGAGTGCCTGACCCACGGTAAGCACTCCATAAACGGTAGTTTTTGCAAGCACAGTATATTACAGTGACTAAGACCACAGGAAGTTCAGGTCAGACTGCCAGAAAGAGCACTTACTAGCTATATGACTTCAGACAAGTTATTCTGTTCCCTCCTCTTTAAAATGGAGATGATGGTAACAATCTCAAAGGGCTGTGTATTAAATAATTCCCATAAAGCAATCAGCACAGAGCTGAGCACACTGGTATTCATTAAATGTTACCATTCATTAATACCCAAGGACACAGAGCCTATTAGGGACAGTGATCTTGATTTTATGATGCTCTCTCCCCTCACTTTAGATCCCCCAATGCTTCACCATCTCCTAAAAAAGAGCCCATCTGAAGTTCTTCCCCCAACAGATACACCTGGTACAAATCAAAGCTTGTATTCTTTGTCTCCATTTACTGATCTTGAAAGAAACACTTATCTAGAGCGAAGGAAGGAAGGAAGGAAGGAAGGAAGGAAGGAAGGAAGGAAGGAAGGAAGGAAGGAAGGAAGCTCCCTAAGTGAACAGGCTCTACCTGGACCAGGTAGTCAAGAGAAGGAAAAACAGTGTGCCATTTAACTTCTGAATGACTGACACACAAAACTGCAAACATCACAATTACAGGTATCTGATTCAAGTGGCACTGGGAATAGCAGTTAACAGAGACTTACTGAATGTTTGTTTTGTAGTAAGTATTATCATCTTACAAATTAAGAAACTAGTAAAAGGCTAGGAAATAGCAGAGTTAGGATTTGAACGTAAAGTTTAAACTCTTAACCACCAGGACACTACTCACTCCTTTCCTGGCAAGATATGTAATACTTTCATACCTTCTGAAATTCCACCACTTTCAACACTGAGTCGGTAACCACATAATTCTTAAAAGAAGTGCAGTTGACAAAAGAGAAACAGCAAAGAGCGAAAGCTCTGTTTGTAGCTAAGAAAAACAAAATGGGAGAAATGAGATCCATTATCATATAAGAAAAATATGTGTAACAAAAGAGATGT